CCTACTTGCTTGCTATTCCTATACTTGCTGCGTAAATGACAACTCATATAATATACGCCAACAAAACATAAAGCCAAATTGAATAGGTTACGATATCGCTCTCTGCCGAGTCTCAGGGACATAAATCCTTCTATCTGGCTTGAAACAAATTCTATAGCTTCCAGCACATCACGCCCTGCCATTTTATTAATAAATTTTAGGATAGACATTAATTATTAATTTAGCTTAAGAACTCAAACAATAAAATTATAAAGTTTCTTTTAATAATTAATGTTAATTTATTTATAGCAAAACATTGATAAAGTCTCATATTAACCAAATCCTCAATGTGGCCATCTTGAGATCCTTATTACTTTTCAGCCTATATAGAACATTCTGGAATTCCTCTACGGCGAAATTCCTTCCGTAATTGGATACTGGCAAAGTTGCGAGTTTAATTATCAAACGAATTGCATTTTAACTTCAAGACTTTCTAAACTGAATTATGTACATTACAGTAAGGTAAGAACACATTTTATTAAATGTTAAAATTCTCTGTGTTAATTTTCTCACAACACGTTAGCTTCAAAGGATTTTTAGAAAACCAAGCTGCATTTACATAACTGGACGCCACCTCTATACACGAGTTTGTTTGTAAACAATTATTTCATTTTTATAAGAATAATCTAACCGAAAATGGCGTTAACTAGAGCAGTTCGGTTCGGTCAAGATCATGCTCAGTTCGGTCAGATCTCATGTACTCCATCATTAATATCGTGCTTCTTCAGTAGATTCGCATATAAGCTACGATGCCGTGGGTGCTGCATATCATTATTTTTAATTCCCAGTATACAACGACACATAAATCAACGTCCGTCCACATCAAGTATACTTTATTTATTTAAATATACACTACGTTTCTATATTTTTTTATAGCACCAGACGAAATTATCCTACAGTCAGGTTGTTTTTATTTTCAACCGACTTAAAAAAAGGAGGGGGATCTGAATACGGTTGTACTTTTTTGTTTGTTACCTTAAAACTCCGTCATTTATGAACCGATTTTGAAAACTTTATTTTTCGTTTGGTTTGGCTTGGCAGGAGCACATAGGAATGTGACCCATATTAATTCCATTGGTTTGCGACATTGGACTCAAGTAGAACGTGTGTTAAACTCAAATAGATGCTTGAGTTGCCGAAAGGATGTTTAAATTGATACTTGAATTGATCATTTTTTGATCATTCTGATTAATTCAGAGAGTTAAACCATAACTCAAATGACATTTGAAAAGAAATTTGACAGCTGATTAGTTAACTTCTACGATAATCAGTGTTTCAAAAACCGGGCGTTAATGTTTTACTTGCAGTGTGCTAACGCGGGTTTAATGCTCGCTTGAGATCTCCAACCACGGGATGCGGTTCAGCGGATTTGTTTGTTGACTAATTTACGGATCAAGTTCGAATGGACCGATTTAGCTGTAAAACGCTTTGCCCTGGCGTGTGCGAAATTTTGATTACGGTAATCGTACACTGGTATAAGTCATTATTAAAGTCCCTTAAAATGTTTCAAATTCGATCTCACCAAATAGTGAATATCTAGAAAGGCCAAAAGTACATCAGTAGTACCTACATATACTAAATAAAATGATATAAAAAACGGCGTAACCCCTAAATTTTAATCCATTAGATATTTCCTAAAAACAAACATAATAATAAACTAATATAAATTAATAAGTGAATCATAAATTTTGTATTCCTTTTTACTATAAAATACGCAGAAGGAGTAGTGTAAAATTTCTAACACTTATTGTTTATATAGAAAATACTGCAGGATGCTAATTTTTTTTAATTATGCATAAAAATACATTAAACCAATAAAACATTACACACATTAACATTACCATGTATAATAAATTACGGTCGAATTTAGACCACTAGGCTACCACTAGTAATAAACTAATTAAGTTGCATATAGCATTGATAAGTGCATAACTTATTCCTATATGACATTCAAATTGTTATTTGAAATTTATAAAATATTCGAGTAAAGTCGTTAAGTTTTATAAAAGTATTTGCGACCCCAATCTATGCGTTTCTGGTCTTCGGTTAAAGAATGGACAATTCATGTGTTACAAAGCATCCTAAAGCGTAAATGGTGGTGTAATATTTTTTGTAATCGACTCATACCAAACTCATTAAACCAATTGTAAACAGTGGCATTTGGATGGCGCTTTATAATTCAATACCAATCGGAGTCATAGCTTTGTTGTTGAGTAAAAAAAGTCGTAATAAATCATTAATCGAAAATTTTCCAACGTTAAATTCATTTTGTTGTTCGTTAAACACAAAAACAAATGCCAAATGGATGCATTATATGACATTATGTTACCAAAGCGTTCTATATTCAAAATTTAGGATAATTTTTCTCTCCCAATGTTACTAACTGGCCAGTCCTAAAAATTTTAAAGTTTTTTATAGTGCTAATCTCTGCACTTAAGATTGAACATTAAAACATGTAGAAAAAGTACGTTCTACATGTTTTAATGTTCAATCTTAAGTGCAGAGATTAGCACTATAAAAAACTTTAAAATTTATAAAAAGCAATGGCGACATCTCTCGTTCGAATTATCGTTGTAAAACGATATTCGAAATTGTTTGTATGCTGGAAAGGATATAACAATAGATGCGCCAAGCATTGCATCAAATGCTAAATAACAATGTAAAAATAAGGCGTTAAGAATTTCGTCGCTGTGGCTACCAGCCGTTTAGCTCAGTGGCTAGAGTGTCAGGCCGCGAATGCCGAAGACGTGGGTTCGATTCCCACAGCGGCGACAATCTTTTCGTACTTTTTCTACATGTTTTAACAGTCCTAAAAACTTTCAGTGTCACCCTGGTAGTACTTGTATATTGTCAGATCGATTATCGAGTTTGAACTCGGACATTGTAAAGAACTCAGAAAAGAACAACAGTTCACTAAACAACAGAAGACGGCACTTGCCTTCTTGTAAGTACTGTATACACTTGGATGCGATGCATTTCTATGAACCACGTGTACTCATCAGATAACAATGAACTCTGTTTTATTTCATTGCAATTTACTTTAATGTCGGAAAAATCATTTATGGATGGGGGTAACTAAAAACCACACCTTGCATATTTCCCCCACCTCTGTCGCATCGGTCAGGGTAACAGGACTAAATCTGGCGAGCTAACACCCGGTCCGGCCATATGATGCTGTGCCGATACAATCAGCATAGCACTCCTCACAAACTCTGTATTGAGCGGCAAACACCCCCATGCCTGCCGCTCAGGGACTCATTATGAAGCAGAAGAGGTACACATCAGCAAAAAATACATTGGTACAATTATACACGAACATTTGCATTTAACATAAATTTTCGTTGGCTAGCGCGAATGCTCACACCGCTCGGCCAATTACAAAGATGTATTGGAGATATGTCGCAGTGATTTCGACATCGGTATTATCCCTAATCCAAACAAGAGTATATGCAGTGGATATAAAAGGAAAAAGCCACCAAAAAATTCTAAGTGTTTAAGTACGTTTGAGTGTATAGCTGGGGTTGGGTTTTATAGAAAAATAAAAAATATTAAACTATGCTTGTCTTTCCCAAAAGCCGTGATGGCTACTGAGCTGAGGCCTGAGGAGCCTGAAAAGTTGGACACTGGTCCAGGCGCTCGCTTTAAATTCATAATACTCTAGCAACCTGAATAGGAATCCCGGTGCCGGCACCCATTTAAAATTTCAATTTTAAATGTTCATTTATCTCTTGCTCAGCGAGGAAACCTTATTAAACCATATTGTCGTAATAAGAACAAAAATTATTTTTACCATATTTGAAGTGTACATACAGAGAAGTCTATAGGCGTTTACTTTTACAATAATTTCATTCACTAATTACTCTACTTCAACTACTTAATGTCTACGCAGCATACTCTGTTCTTCATTGGTCTCTGATCGATAAAGAGGAATGGAAAGACAGAGTATATAATCTTAATATTTACTCACAATATGGTCATTTACACTCATTTATTTTATTACAGGTCCTATTTTATTTATGATCTCCTTTCCATATAGATTGTATCTCTCACATCATTATTATATTACGATGAAAAATCGATACTCGGATATCTTCGATTGAGTTGGTACTCTTTTGGATACCATACCCGAAACTAGTCCATTAGTTTTATCATTTATTAGTTATACCAACATGGTATAACTTGTGTGGACTAGTCCAATTAATATTGTGAATTTTCGCGTATACATTTTAATATACACCCGCGAATTCCGACAGCTCGATAAAATTTTGCTCGCTGCAAGATAAAAATGTAATAGGGCAGATGAAACAAAAATTGATTCAATAATAATAATATATTTCGTTTCACAAATTTGTATTTACATGACGCTTACTTAAATACACTGATCTATTATCAAACAACAACTCAAAAACATAAATACTATATGGGTGTACTTATACTGGGGTCTGTTACCCGTGAGGGAATTATTATTTCAAGAAAATGTCTCCCGACCTTCAAGGTCTGATAAATCAAAGTTGCCTCCAGACTGAATTGAATCCGTAGTTCATAGTTGATATCTGAGACTGAGTTTTATCAATAGAACTTAAATAACTTTAAGCTAACATTATTTGTTGGAATGCTTGCAGCGATATTAAGAAAGAGCGGCCGATTACGGCATTATAGTTTTAAACGATCCTGAAACATAGCCACTATATAATAAGATACAAATTCTTTGTGAGTAATATTTTTTTTCAATGTCAACATTTATTTACAGGGAACTGAACACTGTAATATCATTTAATTTGCTCCAGTCAAAGGTTTAAGGATGGTGTGACGGTCAGAACGGTGGCGATTTTATTCGCAATGCCCGACTGTTCGGCTGGAACAAACATTGGCTCCAACTTTGACTGTGCGTAATTCACAACTACTAATAACAAGGCTAAACAGACGCGAGGACAATGCTACATTCGGCCGTGAGGTGTTTAGAAGAGCAAATCTTCGTCACCCTCGTCAAGCAAGTTTGCAATGTCGCCCACGTCCTTCCCAGCGGCTATCATCGCAGCCTTAGCCTGAAACATTAAGAAAGTGATAAATTTTAGACAACTAATATTCAATTATTTGGTGGTATTTGGCTATTATATCTTTCTACATGATGTTTCCTTCCACACGTCAGATGTAAAGCCTCAAAAATGGTTGTATCAGTTACATTTGTCTGTGTGGAAAAATCTAAAGACATTTAAACTATAAGGTAAATCTACAGCAAACCGCTTCCTTTATTTATCATGTTGGCAGTACTGTGATTGTAATCAGTTTTAATAGTAAGCCAAAGTAAATGAAATGGCGGACTTTCTTAGTGTAAATAACAAGTTTTAAATATTTTTTCCCCGAAAATTAAAAGCGACCGGAGAATTCTGCTTGTTGATTAATTCATTAGTACTTTTTCTCTATCGTTTATTATTGTTTTTTAATTGCAATATCAACTTCGAAATTTGCTGAACATTTGCCGATATATAATGCTAATAATAATAAGTATTAAGTTCCGCACGTCAATTTTCGGATCCGCCGCAGTATGAAAGTTAGGTTATTGGAACAAACGAGACCACAACATGCGCAGGCCTAAATACCTTTGCCTAATATTAATCGGCGTGTAGCCAAAAGTACTATTTATATCTGGAATCTAAACTATTTTTTATTTCTGTTAATAATGTTCCCACAAGCTTCATTATAGTAGTGTATTTTCCTATAAACAGTTTTTCAATCAACAACAGTAATTTCCAACTATTTTTTCTATTACTAGCTGCTCGGACGGACTTCGTTCTTTTTTTTATAGTATTACAACCTTCCGTGGTCCTTAAGGAACATACAAAAAAATAAATAAATTAGCCATTGAGTTATGCGCTTACCAACATTCATTTTTATTAATTAATAAGATGGGCCGACTATAAGGTAATTCAAAGCTTCGTGTAAGTCACGAGATTGTGTATATCTATCTATGTATTATATCTGTTAGAAACCAGAAGTTTCGAAAGGCAAATACTTACAGCTTCAGCTTTATCCTTAATGATCTTCTTCTTGTCCTGGATCTTCTTCAGCCGGTAGAACTCCTCACGCTCCAATTCATCAAGTTCAGAAATGATGTAGGCCAGGGTACGCTCCAAGCGGGGGATGATCACTATCATAAAGTTGAAAATAAAAAAATGACATTTAAATCGTTTATAAATAACTTTTCACAAGATCCATAAAGGGCCTGACATTGACATCATTTTAACCTTGTGACTCGGTGACGCCGGTGCTAAGTTATTGGCGTCAGGGGTCGTTGGTTCGATTCCCGCACGGGACAAGTATTTGTGTGACTAAAGATTATTTTTCCAGATTTGGGTGTTTTTTTTTCCCAAGGCGAGTTGACGTCGGGCAGGCGAGTGTAAATAAAACGCATACCCAAAATCGCTCACAACATAATTCACATGTTGTGCCGACTGCCGACCCCGCCTAGGTGGACTAAAAACATAAAAATAACCAGTTTGGTATGAAGAAATACAACACAAATATGAAATATTAGACCTGTCACCAACGAGGCATGAGAAAATGTGTTCAGTTTAAAAGGTCTGCAGGATATAAATTAATATTAAACAAATGTAGCACTGCAACTTTGGTTCCGTTATATAGGTCTAAGATATTATAGATAGATCTATATATATGTAACCGAAAGATTCTGTGATGTATTTAGGAAAAATTTTTACATCATGGGCTTTTTCTCTTACATAATTGAATCTCAGATACTAAGATACAAGGAAATAATAATTTTTTCAAACAAATAATAAAAAATATTACAAACACTTAATTTTTGTTAAAAGGGTGTTCCAAAAGTTCGCGGAATGAAGGGGTTGGTGGGGGTAGTTTAATTAATCCAGGTAGTCTCTGAAAGTAGTAGTATCTGAAATTACTATTTTAACCATCCTACATTTTGGGATGATTAAGGTCAGTGCAAGGTGGGTTTCGAGAATGCTTATGCCGCTCCAAAAACGGGAGCGCTTTGAGAGCTCTTGGCAGTTTTTTGAGCTCTATGGAGAAAAAAGTTATAGCCCGGATCGGTACTGGAGATGAAACTTGGGTTCGCTGCCATGAACCTGAATCGAAGCAGGAGTCGATGCTGTGGCATAAAAAAGGCACACCAAAAAATACAGGGTGCCGCAATCGGCTCGGAATATCATAGTGACGATTTTTTGGGATTCAGAATGTAAATGTCAAATGTCATGTAAACAAAAATGTCTGGTTGATTATAAATAATGAGGTGTCACTATAACAGGCCAATACTACGCTTCCTTATTAGAGCTATTAAAGGAAAAATGAAGAGGAACATGGGAAAAGGCGTACTCCTTTTGCACGACAACGCACCCGAGCACATCAGTCGAGTTGCGACTGCAGCTATTCATCGATGCGGCTTCGAACGACCTAGCCCCTAGTGTTTATTATTTATTTCCAAAATTGAAGAGAGCTCCGTGGACAAAAATTTTACGACATCAAATCAAATAAAGCCATTTTTTTTCGATGGTATAAACAAATTATTTCATAGATCTGATAAATGTATTAATGTTAAGGGAGAATATATTGACTTTCACCCCATATCCCCCTCATTCCGCGAACTTTTTGACCTCACCTTGTAATAGTACTATAAACGATGTTTGTAGGCAAATACAATACATACAATCAATACATACAATACATATCTGGCTATAAGATCTTAATTAAATAAGCAATTTTTTTGTGTAGTGAATAATTTTTAAACATATATTTCATTTTTTTTGTTTATTTATGTGGGCCTATCAAATTTGTTTTGGTTCAGCTAGATGAATAACCTAGTGAACTTGCTGTACAAACACACAGTATGCTTACTTACATAAAGTGTAAAAATTGTAAGGGTTAAATAAATATTATAGCTGTACTATTCAATACATGTTTTTTTTGTCATAAAATTAACATTATTTTAAACTAGCGACCCGGCCCGGTTTCGCACGGGTGCAATGTATTATACATATACCTTCCTCTTGAATCACTCTATCTAGTAAAAAAACCACATCAAGATGTTGCATAGTTTGAAAGATCTAAGTATACATAGACAGACAGACAGCGGGAGGACTTCGTTTTATACTATGTATAGAAGTGCTTTGTATACTGTTAGGATATGTACATTAACGGTAGAAGTAGAACTCACCATGCTCAATAGCATTCACACGTCTGTTGGTTATTTTGATAACTTCATCAAGTGTAACAAAAGAGGTCTGCAGTGAAGCCAACTCAACAAGTAATTTTACAGCACTCTGGAAGTTTTTCTTCAACTTTGAAAGTTGTTGACCACCACGGGCAAGACCCGCCAGTTCATATGTATCCGAGCCGTCCTGGTAAGACTCGAAAATTGGCAGTGTTACACCTGAAATACAATTTACAAAACATCAGTATCCTCAACATTTTATCAACTTGTATTTCTTACACTTAATAAACATAGTATTTCTTATTATGAAAAAAATTGTGAGATTAGGAATAATAAAAGCAAAGTTTAAAATAATAAGTTAATTTATAGTGCACTTATAAGGAATTACTATTTTTACTGATGTTTTAAAATTATAAAATGAATAAATACCTGCAACATTGTCCTTCTTTGAACGAATCTTGATTTGAGCCTTAGTAACATTTTGTAGGACAACCTGATTGAAGTCTCCTGTAGTAAACTTTGCTTCAGCAAGTGAGAAAGCAGCTTCTTTCATGACTTCCCCCATAAGGGTTTTAGTCTGAGAAATGTAACATTAACATACATAAGTAAACATTAACATCTATAATAACTGATTGAACAGCAAATAACAATAAAGCTTCCATGAACTTAACATTTGATTCCTTACCTCAATAATTTTGCTCAAAATCATACGAAACCTAACTTGCAGTGCATCAGCTTTCTTCTTCAGGAGACCATGGCCTTTCTGTGCTCCAGCCAATCTGGCCTTCATTAACATCTGAGCACTTAAAGGATAAAAATTAAATGTAATTTTCGTCTTACAATTACCATACTAATGAATAGTTCAATAATTAATAAAAAAAACTTACCCCCGAGAAGGGAATATAGCTAATCTATCTTTTCCAGACATATTGATTTAGAAAAATATTGGCTTTTATCCCTATTCAGGAATTTTACTCCCAATCCCTATCACCTGATGACAGAAAACGAATGAACGATAAAACTTTTGTCTATGCCTAGTCTTGTGATCTCGCTCGAGAAAAGCTAAAGATCTCATTTCTTATTATTTCTTGGAAAATAAATATTTTAAATAATTATGAGTAACTTTAATTAATAATACAAGAATATTAACACAGTTATATCATAATAGCAAAATTATTGAACCAATAGCTATAATACTATATCCCAAAAATTATAAAACACATTTTCAAACCAAATGTTGTCAATAAATTTGATTATTTTAGTAAAATTCCTTTCATAAATTTACCTTAAAAGTATTGAAATATTCCACAAAAAAGTAAAAATCGGAGCATGAAGTACGAGTAGTATTAATAGATACAATGATATTTTAAACTAAACTAGTTTAAAATATCATTGAATAGAAAGGAACGCAATTTGTTTAAAATTTACGTACTGTACTGTCACAACAAAATGACAATATAGAAATGTAAATTGTTCAATGACAAAACTTATGACATGTTATTTACTAGGTGATAATGTTGCTTTTTAATTTAATTAAATCTTTCAAGTAAAATCTGTAATATATGTATCAATAATTAAATGTGCAGAACTATTATGAGTTGCAATGCAATATGTAGAATTTGTCTTCAAGATGGAGCCTTATATCCAATATTTCAAAAAGTGGAAAATGAACAGGATACACGTTCCAAAATGTCTATATGCTTACAAGTTTCTGTAAGCTTTTTCATATATATTTTTATTTTATTTTTGGATGTTCATCGCGGATTCTTAAAAAAGTTTCTAATTTTAGATTGAAGATATAGCAGGATATCCACGTCAAATTTGTAATAGCTGTCGAGAAACATTAGACGTCCTCTATATCTTTATCAACAAGTTTAAAGAAACTTGTAAGATTTTAGAAAAAGGATTATTTAATATCAAAGAGGAAAAGGACACATATGTTGATTATGATTATGCAGGCCAACTAGATGATGAGTTTGACATATGTAATATTAAAGAAGAATCTACATCAAAATCGCAACCCGATTATAATGAGCAAAGTAATTTAAACATATCACAAGAAAAAGGAAACAAGAAAATTATGATTGAGAAAGAAAATATTAAGAGTAAAACTTTTTCTACTATAATTAAATATTCCTCCAAGAAACCTTTTTCAATAGCACCTTCAAAATTAGAGGAAGAATACCGTTTGACTGGAAAAAAATTGTGGTAACATTTGTTGTTAGTTAATAGTTGCATTTAATATTTATTTACACCCTGATAATTATATGTAATCCAAATTTTTGTACTATAATTTTGTGTTTTAATCTTATAATACACTATATACATATATTAGTATATGTTTATACTATTACATAATAACTGAGTATTATATTTATCTCATATATACACATATAAATTAATAACATAGTTTATTTTATATTGATTTTTTGTTTTTACGCTAACATACATGGTTTATTTTAAATTATAAAATCAAGAAAGATATTTTGCCTTGCATAAATGAAGTATGAAGGTTTTTCCTTTATTTCAATACCACATAGTTCACTTCTCTTGCTATATATGCCCAAATGCATTGTTTTTTTTTTTTTTTTTTTGATTTTTATATCATCAGACTTGGAAATCCTATCTTAGGTTAAAACCTATCTTAGGTTTCATTTGTTTAATGACATAGATATGTTTACCATATTTCTGAAATCTCACATTTTTTTGGTTATGGCAACATACATGTCAGATTTTAGAATTTAGTAAACATTGTAAAATTTAATCCTACGACCTATCCTATTATATTTCACTATGCTTGTAATAATGACCAATCCATAAATAACTTTCAGTATAAAATCAAATGAAATAAAACATTGTGAGCAACAAACTGCAACAAAGAGAATCAGAAAAATCAAGGAACATAAATCAAAGCTGCCACCACAGCCTAAGCTGTGTGATCTTTGTGGAGAGGTATTTAAGGATCAGGAAAAGCTCTCGACACACAAGAAAAAAATTCACTTCAAGAATCCCGTGAAATGTCCAAAGTGTCCACGGTTTTGTGTGTCTGATTATTATTTAAAACGTCACATAAAAAGAAAACATGAAAATGAAAAACAGTTTACATGTGCTACATGCAGTAGAGCATTTGCATTTAGAGGCGAATTGACGAGTCACTACAAAAATGTACATAATAAGAATTTGAAACTGAAGAAAGTGTTCGCTTGTAAAATTTGTAACAAAACCTATAAATGCCCCAAATCTGTCATTGTGCATGAAAGATCTGTGCATACAGGTAATTATGATTTTATTGAAAATAGAAATATCATACAGAAAATGCTCTATTTCTTTACTTATTTCAATTCTACAAACAAAATTGTACCCAAAGGTTTTTTTTTGTATATTAACTCATTTAAAGAAGACTTAATAATACAAGGGATGTAACTTGAGTACCCCTAGTTTTATAGACTTCTTAGCTGTTAATAATATGTAAATTCATAAACAAGTTTTATTTTAAAAAATCCATTATAAAATTATGTAACATGGACTTATAGGCATTTCATTAAAATAATCATAATAGAAATATTTAACTTCAGGGGACAGGCCTGCCGTATGCACAGTTTGTGGCACTAGTTTCTTCCATGATGATTACCTAAAGGAGCATATGAGACTTCATACTGGCGAAACTCCTTTCAAATGCCCTATATGTGGACGTGGTTATGCACAAAGGTGCAATATGAAAAGTCATTTAAGAATACACAGAATTTCTGAGTTGGATGAAAATACTTTAAGTAAACTAAAACCCAACTATATTAAATTGCTAAAAGCATGATATGACATAAAATGAAGAAGGGGAAGTGTATTTGTTATTATTATATGTAAATGTGATACTTATGAAAAAACATATTGCAAAATAATTCCTTAACATATTAATATTTTTGAATTTTAATATATTCAATACAATTAATATATGGATATTATGAATATGGATTAATAGCATTTAAGTTATGTATTATTATATGTATGTATTAAGACTAAATGAAAAAATTGTAAAAAAATTATTCAAAGTTTATTAATTCTGTTATAAATTTATTAATGGTTATTATGTTGTTTGTAAACAGGAGGCCAAACACATATTATAATAATTAAAAACATTTATAACAATACCTCGAGTGCAATACAATAAATAGGCTATTTTGCAAATAAGAAAAAGACCATAGTTCTTGTATAAAAAGTGTATATTTATTTCTGTTAAATATATTTTTTTGTATTGTTTATTTTAAAATTTTGATTTTCTCTTTATATTTTTAGCTTTAGTCGAATTTTAACTACTTTTTGTTCACACTAAATCTTTCTTGAAAGTTCATGAAAAATTTGTTGGGTAAAATGTGGTATGATAATAAAATTTACATCACATTATTAAATCTTAAATTTCCATTCCTGTTTCTATCCAATAACCTGAAATAAATTAAAATGAAATAAAACACATCAAATATAAGTAAAACCTATATCAAACGGAAATCAAAATTTTGGTTTTCCTAATTTCATCATCATCATTTTATGCTCTTCTCAATTTTATGTAATAATTTTTTTTGTCATTAAAATAAATATTTCTCTCCAGCAACATTGAGTTTTGCTTAATTAGTATAAACTCATCTACTGGTTATCTGGATTCTTATTAATTAATAATGAGTATTTAGAACTTAACTGCAAAATTTTCATTGACATTAACTAGTTAAATACTAATAATTTTATGAGAAAACTGTTTGATAAATACATAAAAAGGTTTTACTCTTTAAGACATGATGATATCTCCCTTAAGCACTTCAGTTTCTCCTCCTCTATGTTTGTTAAATAGTTCACTTTATTCATTTCCACTTCTTTCAATCTTAATTCTTCCCCTTTTTGTTTTAGTTCTATTGCTTTTAATCGTAACTCTTCATTCTTTTGTTGCGATCTCTCTTTTTGTAATGATAATGTTGTTCTTACTTTAAACTCTTCGACAGAAATTGATGGTATGTTAATGTTATTTTCTGTAAAAATAAGATATGAATTAGTATTCCCAGAAGTGCCTTAGAAACTTTAAGATGCCTTTTGCTAAAGTATCCATACCCTGGGTTTTCATAATTTTTCCAGTGTCTGATAAATCATCAAATAGATCCGATTTATGATCTAAAAATGGAAATTATGACATTGTACATTACCATATTTTCATTTATTAAAAATTGTATTTTTCAGAATGAACAAAAACTCGACGCTTCGGGATTTGAACCTCCATCTTCTGGATTCACGCCCATGTACTTTACCAACTAAGCTAAACAGCCGATTACCTTACGGCGCCAAAATCTCGATGTCTATCTACATTCATTGTCTTGCGTTTTTATCAATGCCTGCCTCACCGTCTAGTGTTCAGAATTAATGTAATGAAAATGTAGAGATTTATTCATTTATCTATAAAAAATTTACAATTTTAAGGCTTGAGTGCAGAGACTAGCACTAAAAATAAATATTAATCCTGAAGATTTAAGGGCAATGATGACATCTCTCATAACAAATGGTCATCTTGAATTATTCTTTGTAAAGTTTATATGCTGTAACCTCAGGCACATTAGACTGCGCCAAGCATTGTTTAAAATGCAATACAATGAATGTAGATAGATGTCGAGATTTTGGCGCCGTAAATTGGCTGTCATTGGCCACTTACCTTCTCTGTCTGGGCGTGAAACCAAAAGACGGAGATTCGATTCCCGCAGCGCAAATAACACAAAAAATTTACAAGAAAATCTCTTAATTAATAACACTAACCCAGCACATCCTCACTGTCAGTTTTCCTTTTGTGTCTTGCAAAGTACCTTAAAGCCTTATTATCCTCTTCATCTGTAACCGCTTCTCCACATTTCGACAGTGATTCATTAGAACCATCTGCTAGAAACTCTAAATGAATATTAGTTTTAGAATTGTTAGGTATTTCCAATTTTTGTTTCTGTAACATAAATATAAGCAATATTTCTGCCCGAAGTCTAAGAATTTTCCTTATCAATTTTTAAAGAGGAAAGAGAGTTTAATGTTTGACACTAGACAATAATACCATTTCAAAATGAGATTCGAAGTCATCCAATGGGTAACATATTAATTGTAGCAGCCTTAATTCAAGTTTTGTCAATGCAAGAGGTTGAGGCATTAATTCATATTTTTTCTTTTTCAACAAAACATCTGCTTTCCTTTTAGTTTTATTTTTCCAATCGGTCCACATCTGAAAATAAACATTTTTAGTTATAGAATTTCTCATGTGATTAATTTATTAAAATGCATTGCACACACACTCATGAGATGAAGATAGTAAAAAGTCTGACTTTGCACCATTTGAATGCATTTTTAAATGCTCCTCCATCAACTGAATTAAGCTCTACGGCTACTTTTTTCCAAAAAGTTTGTCTGTTTGTATCAGTATACATAACTTTTCCTTGAACCATAACACCATCTTCACTAAGCAAATCCAACAGTGTCTTCATTTGTACCTGGCTTACTCTAGTCATTTTGAATTGATTCTTATGACATAAATAGTCCATTTAATTATTTTGAAGTAAGCAATCTTGTAACTAAACGTTTTCAATTAGTTATCGATAAACAATATGCCCTTAACAGATAATCAAACTCATACAAATAAAGGTCGGTATGCATACTAAACTAATAAGCGTTATTAATATATACCAAAGCGAAAAACTCTGATGCCATTAAAACAAATGTTTTTTATTATTTAACAATTCAAAAACCAAACAATGTTGACATATTGACAATTTGACATGCTTTTTTTATGGCCTGGTAACAAGACCTTTACGGCAATGACTTGTGCATGTATCGAAAAACCAATATTTACAAAATTGACGTTCGAACATCGATATTTACCGATACAGGAGATACAGTCAGTATTATATTTATGTAAAATATCAATTAAAAAAGCGATTATTAAAACAAATAGTCCCGTATTAATTTTGTAAGCTTTTAAATTAAGCCTCTATGCCAACTCTGTCGACCGCCATCTCAATGTCAAACAGAAGTATTTCCATGCGATTTCTTTATGAAACAGAGTGACGATTAGAGTGTATGGCCTCCACGAGGTGTTAAAGTTTAACGCTCCAATGTTGGACATAGGAGCTGGGAACGAGGAATATAAAAGTACTTTTTGGCCTAACCAGCTAAGCTGCTTGTTGGGAATAATGTTTCATGGTTAAACTTATTTTATAATCCTTGCCAGTATAATGCGTTCGTAAATTGCCCCCGCACTCAGCGCGACACTGCTTACATTAAATTACATACATTGCGTTACTTGTCTTGTATCTTGTATTAACTGATGTTTTGCTTTCAGTCAGAGACTATTAAAGCTTCATCTGACGCAGAACCGGTGAGCTAGCCAGAACCCACGAGTTTGAGCCCTCCGCTGTGGGTAGGGCCACGCATGTGCTCATGCGTGCGTTAAGTATGGTGTGTCATCTAAGGGTCATCGAGGTCGCGGTTCCGACCGAAACCCCGATGGCCGTCGACTGTGCAATTAGCTAATCGGTGGCTGGGAGCGGTGAGAACCGCCCCGGAACGCGGGTGTACCTTGTGTTCGCGTTGTGTTGGTCTCGCCGTGCTCGGAGGCGAGGGGGAACTAGTGTGTTTGTTGTTGCACTAACTGTGGATGCAGTGTTATCCGGTGGGACCCCCGGCGGTGGGTCCGACGTATCTAAGTCCCCTTCCTCGACCGGGTCGATGAGGACGTTTCGCGAGCGACGCTTGTTGACGTTCACGTTTGTGTCCGGTTGGTAATTTGCTGCGCTTACCACCAGAGGGTTAGGATGATGTTCAGCTCTATCGAAGAACCGTTTGGTCAGACCTTTAAAATATTCGCGAATGGTCGGGAGTCTGCAATCGTTGTGCAGGTCGACGTTGCGTTGATACCACTGCGCACCGGTTGCGCGGCGCATGAACTTATTTTGGACTATTTGCAACTAGTACAAGCGAGTAGGGTGCGTGTGGGCGAAGGTCATCCATGTGTAGGACATAATAGGTCGTACGCAGGTCTTATATAATAATAATTTGTGCCTTAACGTTTAAATGTTTACTTTTAGCGTTAGTTCAATTGTGTAGCCGGCCGGAGAGGAACGTTATTAACGTGCATAGTAAATGACATACGCGAGTCGAAAGTGACTCCTAAGCATTTGCCTTTTTTCTCCCAGGGGAGCGGTTGGCCATAAATGGATATTTGCCCCAACTTTCTGCATTGGCGAGGGCCATTATAAAGATGTGACGGGTAAGTACTTCTTGTGAAGTGAATCGCCACACTCTTTTCGGGATTTATTTCTATTCTCCATTTGCGGAACCAATCGCCGAGGCGGTCGGAGGCGCTTTGGAGTCGAGTGGTTAGTTAAGGTTGCGATCTGAATAAAAGAGTACCGTGTCATCCGCGAAAAGCGCGAAATTGACGTAGGGGTCTTTAGGTATATCGCTCGTGTAGAGCGTGAAGAGTAAAGGTGAGAGGCAGGAGAGGCTTGTGGAAAGGGTGCCTTCAACTCGATATCGAAAACAGTGATTCGACAGGAAGACCCGGATGGTGTGTACGAGCCTATCTGGCACTTTGAGTGTGTACAGCTTGTAAAGCAAGCCGTTGTGACAGACCTTGTCGAATGCTTTTGCGACATCGAAGAAAAGAGCCCCTGTTAGGGTAATTTAGGCCTTGTAGGATATGTTCCGTTAGGCGGAATAGTTCATTGGGAGCGTTAATGGTGTACGGAAGATATCCACGGCTTCAGTCACCTGCCGCTTTTGAGTCTCTTACATGATGAAGTTTGGTTATAAGATCACTGGTTACGAAATTGAATACGGGACCACTGATTTTCTTAAACTAATGGGTTTCATCAAAGCATTGTGTACATAAACTTTTTATTTACGTCTTGATGATTTAATCTTCTTTACTTCCTCTGGATAGAATTGACAAGCGATAGTGGTCTAAACGATTTAGGAATCTCCATATTCTGATCTGGCCCTTGGATCATAAAGTGATCTCCTCTCCATTAACCAATTTTCTATTTGTCGTCTACAGAGTTCACGGATTTGTACTGTTCTATCCAGTACAAATCCGTGCTCGTGTGTCATCTACCCACCGATCTCTTTCTACAAAACTGTCAAAGCCACCGGGCCAGCAGTCAACAAACTACACTATCAAAAAACCAAAAACACCGTTACGGAAGACAGAAAAAAATAATACTTTGCTACTCATGATATTTACCCGATATCCATCGATATCCGATACTGGCAATATTTCACTAAAAACTAAAAGTCAGTCAATCGCTATTCGTAATTCGTTGATAGATAAAATGAATGTTTATTTTTTCGGAATATTATAAAATATTTATGTTGCTTTATTAGCGTAAAGTTCATATACATCCATAAAGTGGCATTTCAATATGTTACGTACTAAGGTTTACATAGTCCTAAGCGCATTAGGCGCATTTTTCGGTATTTCGGCTTTTATTTGTTTTTGCTTAGTTTATGCCAACGTAGAAGCAGGAATGTGGGCATTGTTGTCTGGTTAGTAAAAAAAATAATTCAACTTTTATTTGGTTTTCCAAATTACTAATTTAAGAAGGAAAATATATATTTCTTATTACATTTTATAATTTTTGTCAATAAGCTTGCAATATTTTCAGGTGTTCATGCCAGTCTTGCTCTTGTCCTGCATTGTCATTATATAAAAGAGTCACTGCATGTTAACTTCTCAAGGAAAGCCTTACAATATATTGGTGACTTTGGAATTGTTGGTTTTGTATCTGGATTGGCCCTCACACTTTTTTACAGTTTTTTGGAAATTTATTATAAATCCGGTATGTATATATTTATAGCACCTATATAATATATAGACACCTTTTGTTTTTGTTCTAAAATATGTTTTTCATTATGTGGATTGTGGATTATTTTCATGATTCCACAAGAATTTTCTGAACTTTGCTGTTAGTCTCCTAAGACCACCCAAAAAAAAGATGTACCCCAAAATTCAATTCCTACATTCCTTTGAAATTATACACGAGCTATTTTATTTTTACCATTAATGATAATCCATGAGAAGAAAAAATCTGTTTATATAGGTATTTAAAGGATACTTTTTATGTTGATAATGATAATTATGCAACTTTTTAATCTAAACAGATGATTGATGTTTTCTTTAAGGATTTCAGTATGTCCAATGTCCATCTGCTTCAATACCTGGCCCATGAAAAATAAATAGAATCCATGTAAACAATTAAATAACTGGCAATTTGAAATTTACGCTTTCAGATATTGTTCCTATCAAGACAAGCATCATTATACGCTTGGTGTGGTCCTTCATGATGATGAAGTGGGGTTTAGCTCTCTATTTATTCACTAAAAAATATTTGCGTACTTATAATGACCATCAACTGTTTTCAGAAAATCCGAACATTGAAGAAACATAATGAATTCTTTATAAACAACTTAGTATCATTTTAACTGCATGTCATTATATTAAGTTTGAAGGTGATATAGTATCTTAAGTTTATGCATACATTATATTTGATAAGTAATTTTTTAATAATTCTTTTGTCCCAAATGTATGTATTAATTTATGGTTACTTATAACAATTTTATGAATGAAATAATTTGTTTATTAATTTCATATGTATTGTGATTTAGCAAATCTTCGTTAGTAATCATTATACTTTTAAGTTTAATTTGTATTGTGGAAAAAATATTTTTGCAAAAACAATAGGTCTTAAATATTTTCCAACAATTAGTCAATGTGAGGAATGCTGACAAAATACATGTTTATGGTTATATTTTCTGACCATAGTATGACCTGTACCTGTATTCCGCCTGAAGCGATGTTATCAAAAATTATGAGACTGCTAAATTACCTGATTGTGCTAGTATTTGTTTTTTTTTGTTGTAGGAGTATATAAAAAATTTATTATCAACTGAGAAAACAAAACAGCCGACATCACTTTGTGGTAACCAATTGCATTATCTATCTATCAAATGGAGTAATCATATTTGTTGTACAATGCTATGAGTTTAAATAAGAGGATTAAAATTAATTGTCAACAATTGCTTCGTATATATTTATAACTTACCTAGCTAAAATATTAGTAATTCTATTGCTTGTGACAGAATAATTAATGTATGCTTTGGACACGATATTTATTTGTTATTCATTATCTAACAAATCAACATTACTTTTTTTTTCTTTTTCGGTGATATCGTAGGGTATTATTTTAAAAACTTGGTGTCTGGTCAATTCAGTTTTAAAAAAATATCTTATAGAGTTAAGTGAAATTTATTAAAAAGTTATACTATTGAATTGGTATTTAAATGAAAACCTGTGACTGATTTTTCCAGAAAGTATTTTTACATTATAATAAAGTAGTCTCTACGTTATACATGTAGTGGTGGTCCAAATTTCTAGTGCTTAAGCAGTTTATGTTGAATACATATATATATACAGGGATTTTTTATTTCCATCATTTCAATTCATCTTTTTCAAATTTAAACTAGTTCTTTTTAATTTAGAATATTTATTGGTTATAAAACCCAACTAAAAGTATTACATGATTTTAATTGTATAATTTAAAATAGATTAATTGGATGTGTAAATTAAATCGTTATTAGCAAGCAGTTCCAGTGTTTTCAAAACATGTCTGTATTATCTCGTGTAATATAGATTTTAATGAAATATATATCTTGTTCTATAATTAATGTTTTATTTTTGCCATTATTGTCAGTTGAAAGTAAATGAAGCGTTTTAAATTAAATGGGAAAATTACAAATCTGTAATGAAAAGTCAGCCTGTTTTCTGCTCATTTTAAGGTTGTCAAATTCTATTTCAGAATTATTTAAGTCTTTCCATTTGGATTTTTTACCTTTTAATTATTTTAACTGATGTTTTTGCTTTCAGACAGTTGTAGTCTTAGAGCTTCATCTTGACATTGCTCCCGGCGTTGGGTACGGCTGCGCATGTGTTCATGCATGCGTTATGTAGTGGGAGGAATGTCATCTGTAGGTGAGGTTCATCGAAGTTTTGGTACGGACTGTGACCCCGTTGGCCGTTGACTATCTTAATCGTTGGCTGGGGGCGGTGAGAACCGCCCTTGAACGTGTATGTAACTTGTGTACGCGTTGTGTTCGTTTCGCCGTGCTTGAAAGCAAGGACGAACTAATTTTTTGTGTATTACCACTATACGTCTGTATAGTGTCGTCTAGCGGGACCCCGTGTAGGTCCGACGTATTTATGGTCCCATGTCTTCAGGTCTTTCGGTGATGGTTTTCGGGTCTTTCTATTAACCATTTAGTAACTCTCTAGTGTTCTTGTGGCGTTGTGAGTCTCCAATCGTTATGCATAATGTTATGAATATAAATAACGTTATGAACTTATTTTGAATGATCTGAAGTTTGTAAAGGCGTTTCGGATGGACGTGAGCAAGAGACATGTTGAATTATAAGAGTTACAGTTACTCTCAAGTTTTTTTTCTTGAAAGCTGTAAAATCATAAACAAGAATCTTGGTAATTTTGTCATAGTAAATTTTATTATGGGCCTATGATGGGCGACCTGGAGGCCGACGGCCAGTTGGGCGGACCAGATACCGCTGGAATGATAAGGCGATGATGATGAATGAAGTGGTGAAGGACCTTCGCGCCTAGAATACAGAAAACTGGGAGGAGATCGCACAAGATAGGGCGCGTTGGCGCCAACTCGTATCAGAATCCAAGACACTTCGGGTCGCTGAGCCAGCGGATTTGTTAGTTACATTTTATTATATAATGTGTTATATCATACAAAGTAAACTGCGCCTGTCACCTAGACACACGGATATGCTGTCATTATAGATTTAGGTAGTACTAGCAACCCGCCCCGGCTGCAATGTATTACCTATACATATAAACCTTCCTCTTGAATCACTATCTAATAAAAAAAAACCGCATCAAGATCCGTTGCGTAGTTTTATAGATCTAAGCATAAATCAAGAGGTGTGATAAATATAAATTATTGTTGATTATTAATTTTGTAGCCCCTTGAGATTGTACAATATACAGAGTCACTCGACCGGCGCCTTCGTGTTCCGTAATCCGTATCTTTGATATAGTATGATTCACGGAAGATATGGATTTAGTGTCAGCGTCCAGAAATAATTTATAAATGTATCTTATTACTAAAAAGAAGAAATATAAGTTAACCGATTTTTGGCCCATACTCCGAATATATTACGAAAATGTGAAAATACTGCATACGGTACGATGCCACTGTTTAATAACTGAGTTACGAAATACTATTACTTTCGTTAAATAAATTACAATAATTTTAGAATTCGCACAAATATCGTTTTAAATGCAATTAAGTAATATAAAACAAGTTAAATTTTTCTACAAGAGTTTTAGGTGTCATCGCAAAGAGAAAATTTATTAGGTCACTGGTTTTGACCTTCTGTGTTAATCATTGTTTATGTTTGAAGATGTTCATTGGCATTAACATAACAAATTGTAATCTTTATTTATGTAGATACTAACGTTCTACTTATAAATAATATAAAACAGATGCATTTAGTTTATTTTAAAATCTTGGAATGAATATGTACCAAAGAACAGTGATAGCTTAGTGTCCGGGCGCTGGCCTTTAATTTAATATACTCGAGCAACCTGAGTTCGATTCCCGGTGCCAGCACCAATGAAATTGTCAATTTAAAGAACACACCGTGGATTAAAAAATTCTGCAGTTTGTACCCACACAATCTACCCAACATGAGTGAAATAAGCGTTGGCAGACCAAAAATCCTCATAACAGAACACCAACTCCTTCCAATTACGATTTTCGTTGTGGTATTACTCAACAACAAAGCTATTTTAAACTCCGATTGGCATTTAATAATGAAGCGCCATCCCGTGCCACTATTTCGATTGGTTTAATGTTTTTACGCATGGGTGTAGCAACCTCAGTGATGATATGAGTGAGGTTGGTCCTTCAACAGCAATCACACAGCACAATCTTCGACAACAGCGGCCTTGAAGCAGGCTTCTCCTTCGCCACAGCACTTCAGCGCACTCCACGAAACAAAGAATTCAATATTTGATTATAGCAGGTGTCTATAGATAATGAGTCATCCGCCATATAGTCCCGACCTGGCGCCCACTTTTATTTAGTCCCAAGAAACAAAGATAAACTTATAGGTATTCACATATTGACTTCTTGATTTTACGCGAATATTATACACATTAAATGAAACTAGTTTACGGATTATATCGCGTTTTTTTTTATTTGAACTTCCCGACGTTTCGAACCCTTTCCAGCGTTCATAGTCACGGGACAGACTAAGTTGTTTCACGTCTTGATGTCATAGTTAACCCTTCAGCCTGTCAGCCTTTACGAGTCCTGAAGACGCGGTGAGTGCGTCCAAAAATGTAGTAGAAGAGACAACCACGGAAGAATGACCCCTCCGCTTTTCTCAGTAGTTCCATCGAATGCGAAGATGTATAGAGAGGAATGGATACTACTTCGAACAACAACAAAACTAAGGGCAACTTTCTATATTCAGCCAGTTAATGATTTTCTACAACGATGTTCACTAATAAATAGATGACGCATGTCAGTACTGCGTGGCGTTTAAAAATTGTTACGCTTTACTTTATACTAGCGAACCGCCCCGGCTTCGCACGGGTGCAATGCTGAATGTTTTCGACATCGCATTAGAAACCTCTAAAATAATATTATGCATGAATTATACATATGGTTTATATGTATAATTCCTCTTGAATCACTATCTATTAAAGAAAACCGCATAAAAATCCGTTGCGTAGTTTTAAAGATCTAAGCATACATAGGGACAGACAGACAGACAGCGGGAAAGCTTTGTTTTATACTATTTAGTGATGACGTATGATACTGAAATCTGTAGAAATACAATCTAATTACACCAATTGGTGTTATCGAGTGTCTCAGTTTCAGTGCGCTAGTGTCGTATCTACCTCTTATTTGTATAAAATATGATTTGTATAAAAATGATTTTCTAATAACTTTCAGTGTGACCCACGTACATGATGACTTGTGAGTTTTTTTAGAGAAGTTGGCACACGATCCATCACCTGATGGTCATAGATTGCCATAAAGAGAACTGTAGTGCATTGTAGGTGCGTTGCTAACCTCGAAGTTGCTGGGCCCCGGTCTCTTTTTTTTTTTGTTTTTTTTTTATAAATCCATTGCCCTTACTTTGGGATTTGCATTATCCTGTGTTGTACGTTTTACAAACATAAATTTCACATTGAACAAACACCCAGATTCGAAATAACTATCTTTTGGTCACACAAATAGTTGTCCCGTGTAGGGATCGAACCCACGACCCGCGACCCCGAAGCCAATACCTTAGCAATTGCGCCACGGAATCATCATCATCACTCACTGAGACAAACAGCAGAAATAT